TCTTTGGCAGTGAAGAACTGTGGTTGCCCATCATCCTGGGGCAACCACACATGCTCTCTTGGTTGGGGTTAGGGACAGTACTGCTGCTTAGGGTCTCTTCCTGGGCAGTGTCATTTTAAAGATTCAGGTCAACCAGTAAACCTAATAAATGTAGAGGATTAAAAAGACATTTAGAAAGCCCCATTCCAGCAAGAAAGCAAACCGTTGCTTCCTCCGAGGGCAAGCATAGTGTCACACCAGCATGAGCACTTTCTGAAGCCCCAAGAGAGCATTTGCGAACCTTCCAGCTTCTCAGGAAATGTTCAAACACTGCTCCCATGGGTCCCTTATCTCCAAATCCCAAGAGGAACACAGCAGAACATCCACTGTCATTCTGGTTGAAGTGAAGCACAAAGCAGTTCATGCTCCTTGTGCCTCAACTTCTACCACAGCTACCTCCACTTGGGGCTTGTTTGAGGGTCTAAGAAAGCCTTCCCCACTCACAGGTCCTAACAGTTGTTAAAGTTTGGATACGGAAAGTTCCCTAAAAGGTGTATGTACTGAGTACAAAGAGGCTTTGTCCTCGAGGATGTCCACAGGACATTTAAAAGAGGGGACTTTAGGTCACTAGGGGTGTACCCCTAGCAGGAATTAAAGCACCCCAACATCTTCCTCTTTCCTTTGTGTTTACTGGTAATGGAGTGATCCATGTTTTCCATCATGTAGTATGTGTCTTACCCAGCTTTTCCATTCCACATATATGCCAGAGATCCCCCAAACGGGGCTTTTTCATCTCAGACTGGAACTTACAAAGCCATGAGCTTTATAATTAGATTATCTCAGCTATTTTGTTGCAGTAAGAGAAGATTTAATAGCAACGATATTCATTCTTTTATTATGAGTTTTAATGTATTCCAAATATGACACATAAATAAATAAATCAATACATCTATATTGAGCTGAAAAGTCACAATGCTTTGAGGGTCGTCCTTCAATAGTGGCTTCGGAAGTGGGTCGCTGCAGCTATGGCAAGGCAATTATTGTTCAGCTCTGGTTTCAAATTGTGTCTTTCAGTGAAAAGGAAGGAAAAGGAAGACAATTGTCTTGGAAACAGGGGTTTGATATCAGAAAGCTAGTTTCCAGGTTCTTCAACCTCCCGTTTGCTTATCAGGTAGAGGCCTTGCTCCCTTAGAGAGTTGCCTTTCTGCTTCAGCAACAAGTACAATAGGGAAAGGGGAAGAAGTAGTCTTGGATGTGGAGAACAGTAAGACACAAAAAAGACAGAGAAGAGGTTAAGGACTTGGTCTTGTTCCTTTGGCTGACAGGGTAAATGGTGAGGGCAGTAGGAGATACCCAGAAGTGTGGACCTCTGCATCATTTCCTCAGGCACAAAGGATGACAATATGAATAGCCTCACATAAGTATGACACATATGCCCTTCATGGCACCAGAGTGGTGACAGAGAAGAATCTTGTCTTAGGGAGGACAAGAGATAGAGTTTCTTGTGTCTCCTCAGTTCCAATAGTACATGGAAATGATTTGGATATCCAGGTCAAAGGTACATACAATGTGCTGCAGTGTTTATGTTTCCCTGAAGCTGAGGCACCAGTGGAAGAACCTTAGAGCCTCAGACACAGAGACATCATCATAAAGCTACAAGCAGGCTCATTCTAAGACGATTCTGTCTCCCTAGGAATTGGTCCTACTTTGAAACCCTTGCTCTGGCCATAGTATTTCTTTCCAGTATCTTTAGCATCATTCATTCCTAGAGTGTTCTGTTTGTTCCAGGGAAAGTGCTCAGAGAACCTAGTGGAGGAAGACCTGGAGGACATAACCTTGTCTGGGTCAAGTCTACTGACAGTGAGGTCAGACTGTAGCAGCTGCCACAAGGAGGTCAGCTAATCTAGAAACTAGACATGAGGCATAGCTATTATCCACAGGAGAGTTGACCAATGTCAAGGTCAGAGGTGTTGGTCATGTCAAGAAAAGGGTGTGTATTACTTCTGTGGAAACACCAGTATGGACTTCATTCTCAGCAAGATACAGGGGACCCTACTCGCCTGAGGAGGATACCCCCACTGTGAGCACAGAAAATCCTCTTTTATCTAAGGGAAAGTAGATAAACTCTAGGGAGCCTTAATCCATTGTCTTTTTGCAGGCAGCTTTCCCTCTAATTACAGAAGATGAGAAGCCACGCTCTGGTTTGAGATGAAAACTCATTCCCACATAGCACCAGCCTCAGTGCTTAAAGAAGAACTCTAACAGACACCTTTAGACACTGCATGGCTCTGCTCTGTTCTCTCTTAAACTTCAGATGGTAAACTGTATCAATATTGACGGTGAAATTACTCTATATCCGGAGTCACAAATGTCATGAACATATAAAATGCGTAGCTTTGCGCCTATATCTAGGGTATGCAGTGGGGAGGAAGGCATAGGGTAGGAACACATGGTTCAGAGTAGAAGACCTAGGGCTTCTGCAGATGAGTAGTTACTTAACTGCAATTATCGTGGGAGACCAATGCGTTTGTCCTTTCCTTAGCTCCCCATTTGTCCTTGCTTAGGATGGGTACTCTTAGATGCTGCTATAGATGGCCTCCCTACAGTAAAAGGCTATTAGTAGGATTGCAGGATGGCCAGAGTTAGAGCAAAGTGCACCTTGCTGGGATGAAGGACATGGAGTCCTCTAATGGAATTGCATTAAGGGCATACACTCTGTGCGGGATTATAAGCATTCACTGATGTCACATGAAAGACACCTGATTTGGCTGGACCCAGCTTCTCCAGGTCAGAGAGGACCGAGGCGGCTGCTCAGCCTGCAGGTGAAGAGATGGTTCAGGCCAATTAAGAGTACTGGGAGAGCTGAACTGATAGAAAGAGATCATAATAGCTAGAAGATGAAACCATTAAAAGCGGGTGAAAGAAGGAGAGCATGATCAGATTGAGGAGAAAACACTATTAGAGGGAAAGTACTCTATTTCAACTCTGTTTCAAAGGGGCCTGGCAATAAAAGCAAAAGAAAATAAAACCAAAAGGTAGCCTTTCCAGAACCTCCCCTGTCCTCATTTATGGAGCGACTGCCTAGGACTTCCGCAAAGAGAATAGTGACTGAGTTTTGTCCCTAGGGACTGGGCACATTTCATGTTGCACCCTTGGGCTCTCTTGGGCTAGATGGCTTTTTTGGAGCTTCAGGAGGGTTTGTTCTGGTCTCATGCAAGTTCAACAAGTATTGGACATCAGGAATCATCCTCTGGCTTATCTTTTCCCCAGCTGCTAACTGTCATGGAATGAAATGTCTTATAAATCCTTGGCTCTTGCTCCCTGGCTTGAATGTGAGATGTCCTGTGTTTGAACTCTTGGGCCTCAGCTGACAATGCTGTTTTGGAAGGTGGTTGGAACCTTCAGAACTGGAGGAAGTGGGTTATACTGGGAGTGGATTTTGATCTGTTAAGACCTGGGACCACTTCTTGTCCACTCTGTTTCCTGTTCCACCAAGGAAGGAGGAGCAAGAAGTGACAACTGCATATTCCTGCCACCGGGAAGCTGTCTGCCACCATGGTTTTTGTTCTTTCCTCCGGGATGGGTAGCATACTTTCAAAATGTGAGGTAAAAATAAGCCTTCCCTGTAGCTGGAATTTCCAGTCTGGTCCCACAGCTGACTGGCCCCAAATAAACACACAGAGGCTACATTAATTATAAAACCGTTGGCCAATGGGTAAGGCTTCTTACTGGCTACTTCTCTCTTAATTATTAGCCCATAACTACTAATCTATGTATTTCTACATGGCCTTATCTTACCAAAGAACATCTGGCACATCCTTTATTCCCGGTCTCTACATGGCACCTCCTCACAGCTTTTCTCTCTCTCGTCTCTCTCTCCAGTCTTCTCTTGATCTGGTAGCCCTGCCTATGCTTCCTGCCTGGCCATGGGCCAATCAATGTTCTGTTCATCAACCAATAAGAGAAACATATACACAGAGGGACACCTCCTATCACTTCCCACACTCAAGTATCACCAGGCATTTCATCACAGCAATGGGAAAAGTAACTGATACATATTTTGAAAACAACACACAAGATTCAATCCTAAGCTACTATGAAAAGATGGCACAACATTAGCAGACCTGCAGAAGGACCAAAGTCTCAATTGGGAATCTTCTGGAAATCCAGAGTCCCCCATGGTAACATCCGCATCTAGTCGTGGAATGGACAACAACCTTCTGCGTTGCCAGGAACTTGACTCAATCCACCAGATAATAAGTTGAATACATAACACATGCTCCCTAAGTTTGGCAGTAGAGTTAATGGGTGAGTTTTAGAATATTGGATAGAAACACTCAGTTCCAGACAAGAGTTTCATACCAGGATCTTTCCAAGAGAGATAGCACAAAACCTCTAAAATGTGCCTTGTCTGGTAGCATTGCATTATGCATTCTCTGAGCCTTTGATTTGTATCTGAGCCCTAGTGAGGGTTTGTGATTATCAGGGCATGACCCAGGCATCACATACGAAACATGACAGGTGCCTTCTGTCTAAAGAAACAAAAGGGAAAGAACTATAGAGTCCGTGGAAAGCAGCCAAAAGGTACAGTTCTGCCTACACATCCGTTATGGAAAACTAGTTCTGTGACAAGACCAATGCTGAACATTTTTTATGTGTAGCTGATCTCGTATCTCACCCATGATATGACATAGTTATTATTTTTATTTTTTCACAACTGGGTGAGGTAGAGAAACTGGTGTCTGCTCACACAGATGCGTTGGCTGGAGCCAAATAACCAACCTGGCTGGTTCCCAGGGACAGGCCCCTGACACCTGTGTGTTGGAACCACAGTCACGCACTGGTTTGTGGGTGGCCTGATACTAATCCTGTCACTTCCCTTGGGTTGACATTCATAATCCAGTATGGCACTGACATTTAGGCATGCGGAACTTGGAGACATTAAGCCAGGGACATGTGCTACACAGGGACGCTGAACTCCAGGTTCAAAAGGGGAGTGATGATAAAACTCAGATACGCACAGCAGGGACCTGATGTCATTCCCGGATCCAGAAGGCTCAGGTGGGAGACGGCATGGGTACCAGCACCAGCACTCTTCGGGTCTGCATGGATGAAGAGACCAGCCAGCAGAGCCAGACCTAGAAGGACACAGAGCCACCACGGAGCATGTCTGAGGATGTCAGTCACACGAAGAGAAGCAGAAAGAAGCCTCCTGGCCTCCTCCATCCCGCCAAAGCTTCCTCCAGCACCAACCATCGGTTTAACCTTCTAAGCTCCGGCAGCAGCTGGCTCTCTGTGTCCTATCATTTCAGCCTGACACTACCTCTGTCCCCAGAGTGTGTGCTGTGAAGTCACCATGAAACTGTTTGTTGTCACAGAGGCCTCCAGTTTTGGACTAATTCTGAGTCGTTCTTACTGGGGTTTGCTTCCTGTGGAGGTGTTTTTGTGAGAGACAAATCTGTTTTTAACTACAAACTTAATCGGTGCCCTTCAGAAAGTAAAGTGTTGCTTCTGCTAACTGTCTCCGCCCGCTCGCTTTGGAGGAGACAACGATGGTTGTGTTCTATCTGCATGGCCAGTGGCTCTCAGGATAGGACTATTTACTCTGTGGTGGTTTGAGTGTGACACCCCCAATAGGCTCTCCCAGGCTCTCACTGGCTCCTGTGTTTGAGCCCTTGGTGCCCAGCTGGTGGTGTAGTTTTAGGGAGGCTGTGGAACCTTTAGAAGTTGAAGGAGGGGTTGGAAAAGTTGAACCCTGAGGCCAGGCATTGAGGGTGATCGCTGGCCTCTGCTTCTGCCTCTTCTCTGTCTGCTGTGGTGATGTGACCATCTGCTAAAACCTCTAACTGCTACACACCAGAGAGATCTAGCTACCGTGTCTTCCACCTTGATGGACTGTGCTTCTAAATTACCCTTCCCTCCTTCCCTTCCCTGTTTCTTTGGTTGGGATCTTTTGCTATAGCAATGAGAAAAGCTATATTATGCCCACTGATTAAGCATATGCTAAGTATATGCTCCACATTGGCTTCTGCACTCCTATCTATGACCTGAACCTCTCCCAGGCATGTAGCATTCTGAGGGATGGGGTCAGTGGAAATACTCTGAGTAACTTATGGCCAAAGGTGACTGTTATAACAAACACTTATTGTTCCTGTTGTGGCTGAAAATAGGAAATGCTCATGATCCGTAAACCTTGAACGTACTGTTAATTATCAGGTAGCAGTGTGACATCAATGGCTTTGTCTGCTTTCCGTTAGACCCTTTCATAAGCATAGCTGAGAAGGCAACAGACGACGACAGTCTTTAATGTGAATTTCCTGGGAGCCCGTGTCTACTCAGCATTTTCCTTTATTCCGGTTGTACTAGGTCACCTGCTGCCCCAGCAGTGAGTCCCTGTGCCTTTGATCAGTACACTGATGGGGCTTTCATAACACTTGATATTTGTAATCAGAGAGCTGCATGCAGGCTATTGTTACATATTCAGAATGTGCCTCTCCTTTCATGGAGAAGGAGAATGTGCCCCCTGATAACAATAGAAGTGATGGAGACGCTCGATGGAAAAAGCAAGGTTTAGAGCGGGACCACCTTGAATTTAAGTGCCTGGGACAGGATCTGCATTGCCCAGAATGACGGACACAGGCTGGTATCTGCGGAGGAAGAAAATGAAGTGAGATCACATGAAATACAGGCAAACTTTTATCTACTACAGAGAAAGAACCTCCTGGGAAAATAGGGCCCTGCTAGGAAATAGTACGGGCATGAAAGGTGATTTATGTTTCCTGTAGTCGGTTCTGAGCTAATTCCCAGAATGGCATGAAGGGATGCCAATTTGAACAGAAGACAAACTGTGCTCTCTGTCCATTTGAAATCATATCACCTACAAGGGTAATACAAATGGCTTGGATTTTTTTTATATTCACTTACTTCTAAGGAGGTCCAAGGGCTTCCTACCCATGAGCTCATTTACTAGCATGCTGGGAACAGTGTTGCCCCGTGTGCAAGAGAAGTGCCACTTCCCTGGGTAGAAGAGAGAGACACGCTTCCTCTATTCCACCCCACTCTATTTAATCCACTCCACACAGGCCGAAAAATATGCTGAGTGGCTGGCCAGATCTAATATTCCCATAAAACAGCAGGATCATTCAGTCCCGCAATACGGCATGACAGAGTAATCACAGCTACTCTGAAGGCAGACAGGGAAGGACTGCCAAGCTTGAGGCCAGCCTGAGCTAAAAGTGAGTTCAAGTCCAACCTTGGAGAATTAGTGAGACTCTGTCTTAAAGTAAAAAAGTTGCATGGAGTCAGAGTTTAATGCGAGGCCTCAAGTCCAATCCCCAGCATGGAGGGAAAACCAAACCAAAGCCAAACCTTCCATCTTTCCAGCCGTAAGATATATGTGAGTTGACTCTGGGTGGACTTCACCAAGCCATTGCACCTTTCCAAGCCTCGGTTTCTTTGTGTGTGAAATGTGTACAGTGATGACCACCTGACAGAATTATATGAAACAGAATTGTCACAGGTACAATGTCCCTCAGATTGGCCATACACTTGATGTGAGAAAGACCGTGACACTTGTTCAGACGTATTTAGTTGAGCCTAAGCCCAGCATCGTGCCTGCTTCTCGTCGCCCATTCTCACTCAGACTTTTACACCCTTTCCAGCACACTTTGTGAGCTAAATTTAGAAATTCAGAGCCTGAGTGTGGACACACACATGAGAGTCCCAGTGTCACTCTCCCAACCTAGCCCTAAGCAGGTGTCAGGGTCCTTCCTTCCTGTACTCTCCACAGACACTTGAGAAGCTGTGTTCACACATTCAGAGTTATTCAGCTGCCAATTCCTTACCCCTAACTGTCCTGGAAAGTACAGACAATTCCAGAAGAAAAACAGACAGTCCTTGAAAACTGCTTGTATGAGGCAGGTAGAACATTAGTAACTGAAGAACCCTCCTGAAAACTCAATCTAAATGCCCTTAACTATTTAGCTGCCCCATCTCATGGGTCCCTGTCATATACAAAGCACCACTCTAGCCCCAAGTAACCAAAGCCTACTCTTGGGAACCTACATCATACTGTAGGAAAGATACCTTGACACACCTAGGATGCAAGTCAAAGTCTCCTTCTAGGAGCGGCTACCTACTCTATTTTCTTTGTTAGCCAGCCCAGCTGGCTTCAGAATTAAGCTAGGGGACTCGGGGGTGGTATTTAGAGCCCTCTGTTGTCATCCCATGTTGAAAATTATATCCTGAAATTATCTTTCAAAGGAGAGGGACTATTGACTTTAGGAGAAAGATAGAGCCAAAAAAAAAAAACCCACTTCTGTTTTTTTCCCCCATTAAGCTCCCCCTTGGCATTACAGATTAGTTATCATACTACTTTTTAAAGTCTTCTGAACTTTATAAATGCAAAGCAAATGGCTTAACTCTCCCTTTTTAAAGTGGTTTCTACATTTTAAATGGCCTTTAAATAAAACTGCATTCTCACACTTTAGAGCCACAAAGAAAAATTGCTGTGTATTTTTTTTCATTGTAAGTTTCATGGATTGTCTTTTCAAACCAAATATATTTATTTTCCCATGGATGAAAATAAGAATCAGTTGTTTTCATGCGCCTTCACTGCAGACAGAGCCCTTGTGCTGCAAATCACTCTGTAGAAATGACTCCTGCAGGTGTGTGGGGCCATTCCCCAAACCTGCTAGAAAATTCCACGATAAACACCCCATCTCCATTCAGATGCCTCTCTCTGGGATCTACCCTGCCTAGTTCTAAGCAGACTATGTGGAGAGGACGTCTTGTCTGCTTTAGCTGGTTATCATTCTTGTTTCCGAAGGATTTCAGAGGAGACCATAAGCTTGTGACAGAGTGAATTTGTGATCTTATCCAATCATCTGGGCTGTTTGCAAAACTTCAGTAGGTGGCAGCGTTTTGTTGATAAATGTTTTGTTAGCCAAGTGATCTCATTTAGTGCAACTGTTGCAATATTAATAAACTGAACTTATGATCGTGTTTGCCAGGACTGGAAATATTGCCATTCTATGCAGCGGGTGCTCTTATCTGAACTGACAGCAACATCCATTGTGTTAGAGATGGAGTAGGGTGCCTCAGAGCGATTGTGTGTGTGCTGTTATAAAGAGGAGTGATAGAGGCAGGGAAAGGAGTTGGTAAGCAAGGCTAGGGAGGAAGAAAGAGAACATGAAGGGATTGAGATAAGATAAGATGCAACCAGCCAGGTTACCCATGACCTGGCTGGTTGCAATGAAACTCTGGGGTGACCCAAGTGGGCATCCACTTCTTGGATGCCCTATGCAACTCCAAATGACCCTGAAGGTGACGCTGGAAAACGCAAAGAAACTGGCCCACAATGCTGGGTCTAGGAAGCAGCTCAGATTCCCTAAACTTGTATGTTGTGAAGCAAATGAGAATGCCTACATCTTCTCAAGGCTGGACCAGTGTTCTGGTTCCTCTCCAAATGAAAACTTCAGTCAGCACATCCCAACTGAATCACAAGACAGGGTCAGACCGGCCTCTGGGAACGGAGGGATGGCAAGCCCTTCACCCGAAGCTGTGGCCTGTCACAGCAGCCTCCCTCGGGTCTCATTATTTCCTTGTGTAGTCCCCCCACTTTGAGAGTTGTGAAGATCTAGCTGAGGATGCCTTAGAAACTGTCCACTCTGAGAGGGTGTGAGGTACCTTCCCATTTTCAAAATGTTCCCAAGTCAGTCCCCCCAGCATTTCAGACGAGTCTTTGTGATCACAGACACCGAGTTCAGAGCATAGACAGGTTCCCCCGCCATTTCTTCTATTCCGCTATCTTCGTATACAAGAAAGACAAGTTTCATCAGCTGACTCAAGTCTTTCCCCAGTAATGGCGCCTTGTCAGTTGGATGGGGCACCTGTATCAGTGTCCACTGCAAGTAATCCACATGCTGTGTGACCTCTGTTGTCTTGAACCAGTGGGTTATCTGTCATCTCTGCTTGGACTGTCCTTTTGTAGGTAGAAGGGCCCAGCCCTATACAGACTCCAGGAGCTCCATTTAAAGTAGTCAGTACAGCCGGGCGGTGGCTCACATCTGCGATACCCTTACACATGCCTTGTATCACATGAGGAATCACCACAGATGCAGTGAGTGGCTCTCTTTCTCCAGGTTGTCAGTCCTTTGCACACAAAAGCCTGTCGCAGTCAACTTTGTTTATCCCCACCATCCAGCACAGTGGTTTGACAAGGAGATTTCTCAGAATTAACTAGTGAATTGATGCCTTTACATTATACATGAGAAGGATAGCTTCAATACTTTGTGTGTGTGTGTGTGTGTGTGTGTGTGTGCGTGTGTGTAAATCTTTTTTTTTCTGTGATACTGTGATTGCATTCTTTATTATGGTGAGACACACATATATACCATTTCAGACACTGAAGCCTAAGATTCGATCCTCTGCGTGCCTAACTTTTTTTGGATAATTTATCCTGCTAAATTTACTTTAGTTTTAATTAAATTATAATTACATCATTTTCTTTCCCCTGTCTCTTCCTCCAGCCCCTTTCATGTTTTCTTCATCTCTGTTGCCTATCAAAGTCATGGGTCTCTTTTTATTAATTACTATTATTATATTCATACAGATACAAATAAATAATCAATCAATAAATAAATAGAATCTGCTGGATCTGTTTAGCATTCCTTGTATATATATGTTTTTAGACTTGATATCATGGTATTGGATAACCAAGTAGGGAACTCATTCTGGGGAAGACTAATTTCCCCCATCTCACTGGGTATTAATTTCCTATCGCTTTTTATCTAGGAGAGAAACCCTGTGAGATTTCCCCCCATTTGTTTTTATGTATGGCCAACACCCATGGAGGTCAGAGATGGCATGTGACAGCTTGAAACCAGAATTACATATTGCTGCGAGCTGCTGTGATGATCCTGGGAATCAATTCATGGACAGCATGTGTTCTTAACCACTGAGCCATTTCCCCTGCCCCCGCTTAGACAACTCTTAAAGCCTTTCCACACTTCTACAAACATTTTTCTAATACTGATTTATTGGCTAGGTCACCATGCCACAGAGTGTTTGGGAAATAAAAATTGTGTAACACGCCATTCATAGCAGGTATCCATATGTACATGTTTCCAACAGTTCAGAAAGAATAGTGACATCTATGATGAAAGTGTTACACAAAGTTAGAAAAGATGGCAAATTTTTTAGAGAAAGGACTAGAGTTCATAGCATTAAAGCAGGACACACTTATTGAGCACCTGTTATTTCTGACCAGTCCTTTAGATATATAAACTCAGACAGGAAGGGGTTTTGGAAAAGGCATTGTGGTAAACCTCCAACTTTGGGGAGCTGTTATGATCTAGCTTGTAAAACCATGTGAGATGTTGGGGAGTGGAAAAATAATTTTTGTTCGACTTCTGTTCTATACCATAAGTGTCATGATTATGACATTGCAATGTGAATGATAGCCTTCCCTCCCTCCACTCTCTCCATACTAGACAATCAATGCCTGCATGCATGCACACTACATGTCATGTATGTCTACAGTGCCATGGAAAGCTTCACATCTGCCAACAGATGCTCATAGCATAGCTGTCCATACCCACACTTAGATAAAGGTTTAATTTGGAAACAAATCATCACTGGTGTTTCC